ATGTTAATTACCTACAGGTTGTGTTTGCTGCAGGCTTTTGGCATTGTGGCTGCAATGAATAAAAGCAAGGAGCTCCAGCTTCTCGGAGCTGGCCTCTGGCCAGTAGAGCCAGGCAGTCACCTAGCTGCTCTGACACTACATACTTGTGTCTGAGTACTCATTTCTTCCATTGGCCAGGGTCTGCAGGACAGAGCCGGCAGTGTGGAAAATGGTCCTCATGTACTAAACCCACTTCTGGATCAGGGCCACAGGACCAGTTGAATCATGAGACCCAGCTCCAGGTGGAGTCATTCAGTCATCGGAAATACAAAAGTCTGAAAAGACACCTCGAAAGGCCAATCTTAGGTTCTAATCGTGATGTTATTTACAGGAGTAATTGGAGAAGTTACAAATCTTGTGACCTTCAGAACAATGGCTGGTTATGATTTAGCTCCACCTACATCTTACACCAGGATCTGCGCCCATATAAGACAGTGAATATAATTGATAAATGTGAGTGATCTGAGTGCTCCACCAACTGGCTATTTTCCTGTCTTTTGCCTTTTCCTCAGGTCTCCATGTTCCCTGAGACACAATAATACTAACATTAGGCCAATTAATAATCCTACAATGGCTCTAAGTGTTCAAGTGAATAGCAGAGTCGCATGTCTTTCACTTTAAATCAAAAGCTAGACATGATGAAGCTTAGTGACAAAAGCATGTTGAAAGCTGAGATAGGTTGAAAGCTAGGTCTCTTGAGCCAAACAGTTAGCTATGTTATGCATACAAAAATAAAGTTCCTGAAGGAAATTAAAAGTGCTATTCCAGTGAACACATGAATGAAAACAAAGCAAAACAGCCTTATTACTGATATAAAAAACGTTTAAGTGGTCTGGATAGAAGATCAAGCCAGTTACAACATTCACTTAAGCCAAAGCCTAATCCAGAGCAAGGACCTAAATCTCTTCAATTCCATGAAGGGTGAGAGTTGTGAAGAAGCTTCCGAAGAAAAGTTTGAACCTAACAAAAGTTGGTTCATGAGGCTTAAGGAAAGAAGTCATCTCCATAACATAAAAGTGCAAGGTAAAGCAGTAAATTCTGATATAGAACCTGCAGCAAGTTTTCTGGAAGATTTAGCTGAGATCATTGATGAAGGTAATTATACTAAATAGCATATTTTCAATGGAGATGAAACATCTTTAAAGACGTCATGTGGGACTTTCACAGCTAGAGAGGAGATGTCAATATCTGGCTTCAAAGTTTCAAAGAACAGCTGACTCTTGTTAGGAGCTAATTTAGCTGATGACTTTAAGTTGAAGCCAATATTCATGTACCATTCCAAAATCTAGGACCCTCAAGAATTTTGCTAGCTCTACTCTGCCTGTGCTTTTCAAATGAAATACCACACCTTGGATGACAGCATATCTGTTTACAGCATGGTTTTTCTGGATATTTTAAACTCACTCTTCAGACCTAGTGCTCAGAAAAAAAGTTTCCTTTCAAAAGATTACTGATCATTGACCATACACTTGGTCACACAATAACTTTGATGGAGATGTACAAGGAAATTAATGTTTTCATACCTGCTATCACAATATTCACTCTGCAGTATATGGATCAAAGAGAATTTTGACTTTCAAGTCCTCTTATTTAAGAAATACATTTCATAAGGCTATAGTTCCCATAGATAGTGATTCCTCTGATGGATCTGGGCAAAGTAAATTGAAAGCCTTCTGGAAAGGATTCGTCATTCTTGATGGCATTAAGAACATTGTGATTCATGGTAGGAGACCAAAATACCAGTGTTAACAGGAATTTGGAAGAAGGTGATTTTAGCCCTGATGGATGACGTTCATGGGTTCCGTGGAAAAAGAAATTGAATATGTGGTGGAAATAGCAAGAGAACTAGAATTGGAACTACAAGCTCGTGATAAAATTTGTACAGATGAGGAGCTGCTTCTTACGAATGAGCAAAGAAAGTGGTTTCTTGAGATCTATAACTGGTGAAGATCCTGTGAATATTGTTGAAATAATGAAAAAGGATTTAGAATATTATGTAAACTTAGCTGATAAGACAGCAGCAATGTTTGAAAGGATCAACTCCAATTTTGAAAGAAGCTCTGCTGTGCGCAAAATGCTATCAAACAGCATAGCATGCTACAGAAAAATCTTTCATGAAAGGAAGAGTCAATGAGGCAAGCTTGATAGTTGTCTTATTTTACAAAATTGTCATAACTGGCCAGGTGTGGTGGCACACTCCTGTAATTCCAGCACTTTGGGAGGCTAAAGTGGTTAGGTCACCTCAGGTCAGGTGCCTGAGACCAGCCTGGCCAACATGATGAAACCCCGTCTCTATTAAAAATGCAAAAATTAACTGGGTGTGGTGGAGTGTGCCTGTAATCTCTGCTAACTCAGGAGGCAGAAGTTGCAGTGAGCTAAGACCACGCCACTGTACTTCATCCTGGGCAACTCCAGACAGAATGAGACTCTGTCTCAAAAAAAAAAGGAAAGAAAAGAAAAAAAGAAAAAGAAATTGGCACACGCCTTTGGCAACCATCACCCTGGTCAGTCAGCAGCCATCAACATTGAGGCAAAACCATCTACCAGCAAAAAATTATAATTTGCTGAAGCCTCAGATAATAATTAGCATTTTTTTTTGTTTTTAACAATAAAGGATTTTAAAAGTAAGGAATGTACATTTTTAAAGACATAATTCTATTATACACTTAAAGGACTATAATATAGAATGAACATAACTTTTACATGCATTGGGAAACCAAAATATTTCTGTGATTTGCTTTATTATAATATTCACTTTGTTGTGGCAGTCTAGAACTGAACCTGCAAAATGTTTGAGGTATGCCCATAAAGATAATGAGTTTTGGATAACCCAGGACTAGATGTAAATCTTGGCTTTTCCAAGAGAGATGAAATGGACAAGTTTCCTAAAACCTTTAAACTTTTTTTTGCATAAGTGTACAATTGAGTTAATAATATATACTCTGTAAGATTGACACTTTCAGGCCTGTCATCATGACAGCTCTTCTCTTAGTAGTGTAATTACAGAAAAAGAAAAATAAAGTTAGAAAGAAACATCATTACAAACTTTCTGGTGGCAACATTTAACGTCCTTCAGTACATCTCCTCTCTGTTGTTTTCAGTCTCCTATTTCACAAGTCACTTATAAAATGATACAAACATGACAGTTTTTCGGTTAGCTTTCTAAAGTTCTTGTCTGAAAGCTGAACATACCTACATGTTGTGTGAAAGATAGTCAGCTGGGCCCTGAAGGAGCTATACAGCTGAGCCTAATATTGAATAACTTACACATCTTCTTCTTTGATGTATCATAGTAGCCCCACACAGAATGTCCAAGAATATCCTCGACTAGAGGGCACTGCTTCAAGGAATATATCTCCTGAGTTTGGAGAATCTCTGATGTTCTTGAAGGTGAACAGAAATGGGGATTGATCTCCCAGCCTGTCTCTTATCTTACATTCATTTTCAGAGTCATGGACCTCCCTGAATACTGTAGTGCTCCGGGGATGCATAACATGCCATAGTCTTTTTCTCCTTACATTAGGAATCAATCTGAGAAGCAGAGCCTCTAAATCTACATCTATGTCTTTCTATATCTATACCTATATCTATATCCGAATCTTGTCTCTATTGTCTATTTAGATATTTATAAAAATTAACAGTGAATTTTCTTGGATGCAATCTGCCAGAAAATAGTCTTCTCAAACCAAAGCAAAACCAAGTAATTTCACTTTCACTTACTCTTAGGGGACAATTAAGAAATACTTTACTAGGCCGGGCACAGTGGCTCACACCTGTAATCCCAGCATTTTGGGAGGTGGAGGCAAGAGATCACCTGAGGTCAGGAGTTTGAGACCAGCCTGGCCAACATGCTCAAACCCTATCTGCTTCAGTCCCCTTTCCAGGGGAGTGAACGATTCTGTCTCACTGGCATTCCAGATGCCACTGGGGTATGAAAAAAACTCCTACAGCTAGCTTGGTGTCTTCCCAAATGACCACCCAGTTTTGTGCTTAAAACCCAAGGCCCTGGGGGTATAGGCACCTGAGGGAATCTCCTGGCCTGTGGGTTGCAAAGACCTTGGGAAGAGCTTAGTATCTGGGCCAGAATGCACTGTTCCTCACCACACAGCCCCTCACAGCTTCCCTTGGCTAGGGGAGGGAATTCCCCAACTCCTTGGCTTCCTGAGTGAGGTGATGCTCCATCCTGCGTCTGCTTGCCCTCCAAGAGCTGCACCCACTGTCTAATCAGTCCTAATGAGATGAGCCCGTTACCTCAGTTGAAAATGCAGAAATCGCCCACCTTCTGTGTTGATCTCTCTGGGGGCTGCAGACCAGAGCTGTTCCTATTAGGCCATCATCTTGCCCTGGAATGTCTGTTGTAGGTTCTTAAGTATCTTTAAAGAGTAGAGAAGCATAGATATTCTAGATTCCTTTGAGGCTATATTTAATGCCCTTCCCTTCAATGTCAGAACAGAAGTTTGTATTTTTTCATTTTCTAAGCCAATCTTTTCCCTGAACTCCTTATCTTTTTCCTCCCATGCCCTTAAGGACTTTTCACATTCTTTTATTTCATTTTTTCTCAACTTCAATCTTCTTTAAAAAACCAGTTATTTTCCTTGTTATTTAAATATGCATCTGATTCCTAACTATTAAACACAATTTTCTTTAATCCCCAGCCACTAATTTATCTGTCATTCTTGAAATCACTTGAGTAGCCACTATCTTTTCAAAGACTGTTTTTAAAACCCTGTACTAATGCCTCAAGATGAGTAAGATATAGTCTTTATCAAAGAGGCTTATAGTCTAGTAGGGGAGGCAATACCTAGATTTGAGTCTGCCATTACCAACTGTAGCAAATATTTTCTCCTTTCCAGCCTCATTTTTTTTTTTTAAACTGCAAAATGTACCTCATGGTTTAAAATCAATAGAATTCTGTGACTTATAAACAAATAATTTGATACAGTATTTAATAGGTAGCCATAATGGAACAATATAATTACTTTGGAAATCAGGAGAAAGGCCACTTTTTGCTGTCACTGAGTAGAAAAGATGGCAATTTGAATCGAATTCACAAAATTCCAGAAAAATGTGAGTGAAGCTGTGGAAAACAGAAGCATGTAGCATAGATACAAGACACGGCATGAAACCTCGGGTGGCTGCAAAACGGTTTCCATCTGAGAGTCTTGGAATTAGATATGATTACTAATACAAGCACATAGAGAGATGAAGGACAAAATGGCATAGGGTTGGAGGGAGACAGATGACTGGACAATGTCAACTTTTAGGCAGGAGGTAGAGAAAGAAGATCCAGTGAGGAAGCCAGAGGAGGCTCAGAGTGTTATAGAGAAAAATCACAATATGTTTCCAAAAGTGGGGGGATAACGTATCTGGTTAAGTGCTTCAGAAGTCAAAGAGCATGAGAATTGGTTAGACCACCATCACTGATAATGTAAGAAGTCATTGGCGAATTTTGAACATGAGAGGAAGTCAGTTTGCATTGAGTTTAAAATAAGTTATCGAGAAAAGAAAGCTATGAGGCGATGACTGTTTTACGTGGCTTGTGATTAAATGGGCCAGTTTCGGCAGCTGGCATAACCAGCAAAAGTTCCTCTCCTTATTTCTCTCTTTCAAGGCTAGAAGGATTATTTCTGGATTTTTACTTGAGCCAGTTTCATTGCATCCCATTGCCAGAGATGTTTCATTGTTAGATAATTATTGTCAGCTGAAAATATATTTACAGAATTTATTCATACTAACCTATAAACTATTATGGAATTCCTCACAGGCTGCTGGTGGTGAACAAAAGCTGGAGGAATTTCAGTGTGTTCTGGAGTTAATTTGTAAAATAAGTCTTAAGCATATCTAAGTTTTAAGTCCCACTTTTAACTGCAAAATAGTGATTTCTAAGCAGGTGACTTTGCAAGGTGTAGGAATACTCAACTTTTTTTTTTTTTTAAATATTTTTTATCACCCAGGCTGGAGTGTGGCTGTGCAAACACAGCTCACTTCAGCCTTGACCTCCTGGGCTCAATTGATCCTCCCATCTCAGCCTCCTGAGTAGCTGCAACTACAGGCACTTGCCATCATGCTCAGCTATTTTGTGTGTATGTGTGCATTTTTAGTAGAGATGGGGTTTTGCCATGTTGCTCAGACTGGCCTTGAACTCCTGAGCTCCAGTCATCCACCTGCCTAGACCTCCCAAAGTTCTGGGATTACAGATGTGAGCCAGCATACCCAGCTGGAAAACCTATCTTTTAAGTTCAAGAGCCAAGGATATTCGTCACCGGTCTGGCTATTATAACCTTTTATTATAAATTAAATTTATCTCTATCTTCTCTTTACTAATCAAGTACGTAATGAAAACAAGTAAAAGGTTCAGAAGATAGTACAGTTAATCCAAAAAATTGCCCTTTTGTTTGTCCCAGGTCTTTAATAACTATAGTAACCAACAACCACCATTTATTCAGCACTTATTATATGCTAAAGACTAGGATTGGAATTTTGTTCTCTCTATAGTTTTCACTATAAGGAAATTGAAACCTTGACAGTCAATACCTTGTCCAGAAGTCCCACAACTAGTAAGTTGTGCAGGCAGGGTTAAAATTAGAACCTTCTAATTTTTAGCATTCAAGTTCTTAATCAGCTCAGATTAGCATAACCCATGGGCATTAGATCCAAACTCTGGGCAGACATAGGTGAAAGAAATTTGATGTAGTCAAATGATAGATATTTATTAGTAAGGGGGATTTGGTTTTAAGTAGCATTAACTTAAACACACACATTAACTTAAACAATGAAAGGGGAACTTACTGGAAGAATAAGGCCATATTTCAGGGAAGATTTGAGCAACCAATCTTCAGTAGCAACAAAAAATAGGGCAGCAGACTGGGCATGGTGGCTCACATTTTTAATCTGCACTTTGGGAGGCCTAGGCTGGAGGATCACTTGAGGCCAGAAGTTCAAGACCACCCATGGCAACAAAGCGAGACCCCCATCTCTATTAAAAAAAAAAATATGAAAGAAAATAGGGAAGTTCTATAAGTTAAAAAACAAAATTTCTCATCCTCCTTTCTTTTTTAACACCATTACATTGCTTTTCTCTTGACCTTTGATTCAAATTCTTGAGATAAATTTTCTTGTATACTGAAAATGATTGGCGTCCAGTGGATCAGATGTCTGTTCTTTGTTCCTTGCCACTGGGCAGGGCAAGGATGTCATTGTATATTATGGTTATAGATGATAATTTCTTCGCTCCGCAGAGCAATTCTCAGAGTAGGACAAAATTTGGGTGTCATTGTATATTACGGTTATAGATGATAATTTCTTCGCTCCACAGAGCAATTCTCAGAGTAGGACAAAATTTGGGGAAGTGGTGGGACAAATAGGACAATATTTAAAAATAAGACTGTCCAAGAAAATCCACTCTATATGATGGTAAATTACAATTTTTTGACCTTTTTTTATACTTAATATTGGCATAAAGCTATGGTCAAGAGCCTACAGGGAGAGATAAATTTATGACGGGCTCTTTAACTCCTTTCAGTATATGATATGAGAAGTGTAAACTAGGAAAATTTTGCTAGCCAGGAAGAGGGTTTCCTTTCCTATTTTCCCAGAAGAAGTGGTTGTTTTCCTGAGAACTGAAGGAAGGGTAGAGGCCGACTAGGCAAATAGAAAGAGCATTCCACGTAAGAGAATAGACCCTATGGCAAAAAGTGATATGACATTGTTGAGGAGCTGCAAAGGCCTGTCTGTCTATATATAAAATACAGATGGCAAAAGGAACTATCACATTGTCACATAACATATCTCCTAACGCCTTGTTTCTTTTCATAAAGACAGTTACCATAGTCACTATTATTTTAACTTTTATTTATGCAATTATCTAACTCATTTGCAGCTCTTCTTCTTGAGGTTAAACTTCATGTAGTTTCCGCTCACCATTGTATTCCCACTATCCAAACTTAGTGTCCACGACTTAATAGATGAGGCTAAACACATAAGTAGGCTTCAAATGGTACAGGACTTATGGGCTCAGATTTCATTTTCATTCTTAAGTCTTTCTTCAGAAATGTTACCATCGATGGAGATAATGAAGCATATTTCATCTTTTTCTTCATTTAGCTATATTAGGGGTGTGGGTGTGCAGCAGTCCAAACAGTGTGTGTGTGTGTGTGTTAGTGTATGTGTATTGGTAGTGGCTAAATGAATACGAAGAGCCTAGCCCAATTCTTGACACATGAAGTGATGTTGGTGGGAATGTAAATTAGTATAATGTCTATGGAAAACAGTATGGAGATTTCTCAAAGAACTAAAAATGGAACTACCATTTGATCCAGCAATTCCACTACTGAGTATCTACCTAAAGGAAAATAAATCAATATATCCAAAGGATACCTGCACTCATGTTTATCACAACACTATTTGCAGCAGCAGAGATAAGGAATCAACTTAAGTGTCCATCAATAAATAATTGGACAAAGAAAATGCAATATATATACCACAGAATACTACACAGCCATAAAAAGGAATGAAATCATGTCTTTTTCAGCAACATGAATGCAGCTGGAGACCACCATCCTAAGTGAAATAACTCAAAAATAGAAAGACAAATATACCTTCTCACTCATAATTAACTACAAAATGTGTATTTATGAATGTAGAGAGTGAAATGATGAGCCATAGAGACTTGGAAGGGATAGGGAGTGGGGAGGTGGACAATGGAAAATTACTTAATGGGTACAATATACATTATTCAGGTGACAGCCTAAAACCCTGACTTGACCGGCATACAATCTGTGCATATAATAAAATCATGCATGTACTGCATAAATTTATACAAATACAAAAATAGTAATATAAAAATAATAAATTTTAGAAATAATGTTTACCAATTATGATTTTGTCCTCTTATGTGTTATAGGGGAGCTGAAGAAACCCAGAACAACAATTCCCAAATGCATATTTACTGCGTTACCTCTGGTGACTGTAGTTTATTTACTGGTTAACATTTCCTACCTGACTGTTCTAACACCCAGGGAAATCCTCTCTTCAGATTTGTATGCAAATGGCTAAAACAATAAATAAAGTGCTGGTCCTTTCAACATATCTTAATTATCATTTCAACAGCCAGAACCACTCTTTACTGTTCATTATCGTACATATAGAACTAATTTATAATTTTCTAAAATAACAGAGGGCCAAAGGGAATGATTTGTCTTAGAAAGGAGATTCATTTTTAAGCATGGTTTTGCCTTTTCTGATAATATGGGAAGATGTATATAATGTTGACGTATGGTATACATCAGATTCAAAATATTAGTATTCCTTTCATGATCTCATCTCACCAGGGTGATACCGTGTAATCAGTGTTTACACCTATTTTTAAACTTTCAAAATGTTTAAGTCTCAGTGTTCTTCTAGGTGTCACAAGGAATGATCAATTTGTGATGTAGAACATTGGCAGTTAGAAGAGTAGTTGCTAATGTTCAACTGATGCATATGATTAATATTGATGTGTAAAGTAATATGGTTGTTTACCATGAACAACTTTAAAATTTATGGTGGCAAAGTAGCCTGAACATATTGGAAATCTGACAAAAAATAGCTATCTTAGAGACCAAATGGTAGAATAAAGAATAAAAGGCTGAGAAAATCTTAAAGAAATACATATTTAAAAATGAGTAATGGATTTAAAGAATAAAAGAAAATTTGGAAAAAAATGAGAAACAGGGAAAGTTGAAGACTAGTAATTTTCTCAAGCTAGCATTAAACCACTTCGTGAAATAAATCTGTCACCCAGTACCTTTAGTACGAATCTCTTTTGAGCAGCTATTACTGTTTTGGTGAATCTTTGAGGCACAGAGGTAAACCTAAGGGAGATTTTGCTATAAAATTCTGGTAAACTTTGCCTCAATTCTTATGTTACTGCCCTGCAGGATGCTGCCATATGGCATTAGTGTTGATTCATAATGGTCTAGGTGTCTTAGGGACCTATAAACTAGATGCAGTCAAGCTTCTGAGTGTCTGTGGGAACAAACCAAATGCAAAGCCGGATCAGAACAAGCAGTGATTCATTAACTGCCTTGATTATGTAAAGAATAAATTTACAAAGTTAATCATGGGTGTGGTTGGGGCTGCTGGTCAGCTAGTACAGCTGTTATAGTTCGTTGAAGCTGGCATCTGTTATGACTGACAGTGCTCCGGCCATACAGGTTGTTAAAAAGTCATGAATATCTCCTTTGGTGTCATAATGGTTATAGCAGTTTTGCAGGTGGCACAATAGTTTTGCCATGTGTGGAAGACTCATGAAGTGTTTTGACCATCATCACTTGTAATTCAGCTACGATGCTTACTATTTCAGGCATCTAGTCTTCAGACTTTTTGTTTAAATTCTGAATTAATATTTTTGAGTCCAAATATCTGCATGTTTATTGTACAAGAAATTTAAATTAAGAAAATAATCAGAGCCATATATGAAAAAATGTATGTATACGGTCAGTCATTATAGCTTTATGTATGATAGCAAAAAATTAAAAATCATAAAAATATCCAATAAGCTTGAAACACATAAAAATGTATGGGAAATCTATACGATAGAACTTTCTGTGATTTGTAAAAGATGATATTGTTGATAGATACTTGAAGAAAAGGGACAATGTTTATAATTCAATAACAAAGAAAAAGTCAGGATGTATATGATGATATATCACAATAAATAAGTAGTTAACAATGGTGCTCAATGGGGATGATATTGTAGGTGATTTTTACTTTATTGTTTGCACTAAATTTTCCAAATTTTCTTTAACAAATTGCAAAATTTGTAAAATAAGGGGGAAAGTTATAAGCAAAAGAAATAGTTTTTGTTTTGTTTTGTTTTGTTTTGTTTTGTTTTTGAGACAGAGTCTTGTTCTGTTGCCCAGGCTGGAGTGCAGTGGCACAATCTCTCTCACTTCAATCTCTGCCTCCCCGGTTCAAGCGTTTCTTGTGCCTCAGCCTCTCGAGTAGCTGGGATTACAGGCATGGGCCACCACGCCTGGCTAGTTTTTCTATTTTTAGTAGAAATACGGTTTTGTCATGTTGTCCAGGCAGGTCTTGAACTTGTGACCTCAGGTGGTTCTCCCTGTTGGCCTCTCAAAGTGCTGGGATTACAGGTGTGAGCCACAAGGCCCAAATATAGATTCTTAAATTAAGAAATTTTAAAGATTAAGGAACGCATTTTTAAAATAAAACAAGTATATGTTCAAAAAATGTGAAACGTTTCCAGACGAATATAGAGCATCTAGTACGTGGCATGTATTGGATGTTACATTTTATTTAAGAAATATTGAAAGAATTATACCAGGCTGTGATAAATTTTAGATTCTAATATTTGTGGTTTACATAGAAAAAGAAACAGTGGTATTAATTATGTAATATTTTTGTCTGTGTCAGTGTCAGAGCTTTGACTCGTTTCTTCACCTATTTTTCTCTTAGGAAAAAAAATAGCCTTTATTGTAAATAAGTTCCACAACTGAGAAGGGAAGGGTGTTCTCTAGAACAAGGCGTGTGGAAATGCCTTCGTGAGGAGCCCTGGTTGCAGCTTTGAAAACCGAGGATTGCGTTGTTCCTTAAGTCCTGCCACACGCTGCTGACAGGGGTGCTTGCATTGGCTTTTCTTGAGAGTTCCATGCCATACTTAAAACTGGAGAAAACTGGCATAGGACAAGATAATCTAAAACAGTAAATACTTTTTATGGAACCAGAAGCTGAGAAGGGTTCCCTGTCCAGATGCAGCCTAAAAGTAGCTGGTATCAAGTACCCAAGTATGGTTAAGAATTTCGAAGATAGCCAATGATAGACAAAATAATAATAAAAGTGTTTTGAAGAGAAAGTGGTAATTTTAGAATCTTTTATTGGTAAATTGATGCAATTATTTTCAGAGGGCAATTTTGTAATATCACCCTTATTTTAAAATATACCTACCTTTGAACTTGCGAGTCCCACTTCTAAAAATTTACTCTAAGGAGACTTGAGCAACTATCAAGAATGGAAGGCATGCATGTTTTCATTAAAACACATTTTATATTAGCAAAAAAAAAATTTGAAAACAAACTGAAAATAAAACAACATGAAATGGGTAGAAAAACTAATTGACAGTTATATAATGGAATACTGAGAATTTGCTAGAATAATTAGATGCATGTAAATGTACTAATAAGAGCAAGATGCCTAAGTGAGCGTACACATACATGCACATTCATATACAACCCTAGCAGATGCTTATACATTCATACAACATTTCTGGAAAAGAATCTAAACAGCTGTTAATAGCAGTTACATTTGCTGCACATGAATGGAGGGTTGGTGAGGAGAGGGACGTTTACTTTTCACTTTATGTGCTTCAGTGCTATTTATTGTACTTTTCACCCAAAACATACATGAGATCATTTTTAAAAGAAAAGAAACAATATGTGGAAAACAGTAACAAAGAAAAAAAGTCACCTGTGGCATAGAGCTAAAGATTATGTAGAAAGAGGTATAGTTCTTGCCAGCCAGCACTGGCAGAGCTGCACCTGATCCTTCTTCAGTATCATTAACATTTTGTACTATATAATTTTTTGTTGTAGAGAGCTGTCCCATGCATTATAGGATGTTTAGCAACATCCTTGGCCTCTACTCATTAGATACCAGTAGCAACCTCCTACCTCCCCACTTGTGACAGCCAAAAAAGTCTCCAGACATTGCCAAATGACCCTGAGGAGTAAATTCACTTCCAATTGAGAACTACTGGTCTGTAGACAAGTCCCAAATGTCATACATATTTTTAATGGTGTGTAATTTATTTTCTTCATCTACATGGTTCCTTTTTCTGTTAAGCATTTCAAATTGCACCATGATGTGGGAAAGGCTCATTCTGGTGTCAATAATGCTGCATTGTGCTTTTTGGACTCTGAATGTGACTATCCAGACTCAATAAACTAGCTTTAGAAAATAAGCATGGATTCAATCATCTATTCAAGAAAATCAATTCATTTCACGAGTATTTTCTGAAAGCCTACTATATGTCTGTCACAGAGTGATGCACTAGTTTTATATAAAAGAAATGGATTATCCTTGTCCTCAAAAACGTTCTTGGTCTACTGGGGAAGACATATAAAATGATAACCATTTATTATATAATGTGATGGGGTGAAATAGACACCTTTATAAGGTGTTATGTAAGTGTAACTAAGGAAATAAACAATAAGCAAAATTAAATGTTATTAATTACTTGTTTCTGCTTTTATTTTGAAATAATATTTAAAAGTTTATCATTAGTATCTCTCTTTTAACACATTTTCTTTTGTGTACTTTTGTTTTTCTGCAGATGCTGTAGCTATCACATGGGCTGATCGAGTTTTTCCCTTATTACCATGGATTATGCTTTTTGCTATTTCTACTTCACTATTTAGCAAGCTTCTGATTTCTATATCCGAATCATAGAGACAAATATATCTTGTGAGCCAGGAGGGCCAGCTGACTTTGCTATTTAACACACTTAATAGACACTCCTCTCCATTTACAGCTGTGCTACTACTTGTCATTTTGGGATCCCTGGCAATTATCTTAACAAGTCTAATTGATTTGATAAACTCTCTTTTTGCCATGAGTTCTTTTTGGCCTCTATTAGCAATGATAAGAATACTAAAGTGGAGATACCAGGAACCCAACCTATCTAGACCTTATAAGGTAAAATTCGATTTTCTAATTCTTTTATGTGAGAAATAAAAGATATTGTGCATAACTGTATTTAAGATTATAATCAGAACATCTATAAGCAGATCTTTTGAATACTCAGTTATTGTGAAACACATAAGAATAATCTGCTGTTGCTTTTAATTTTAATTTTTATTGGCTAGGTGACTCAATATAAACTCTCTTAGATTCCATGTAATGATTTATTAGAGAGAAAAGTCGTTCTTTGGGTGGTCGGACAGATCATTATGAGTATTTTGACCAGATATCATTTTGTCTACTTATGTCACTAGTTATGCATATGAATGTTCTTTACAGTCGGAGTCAGATTAACTGATGAGAAACAGAAGAGGCAAGGAGAAGTCACAAGTGGAAACATCCACTATCCTGAAATATCAGCTTATTTTGTTGGCAAATTTCATCTTTTCAACTTTATTTATTTTGAACTGATTTTCAGTCTGGATGAAAAAAATTTTCACAGGAGAGGAGACCATCACTTAATTGTGGAAAAGGAAATAAGCAAAAACTTGGTGGCATAAGAATGTTATTGGAGAAAGATGGCCCTGATAGTCTGGTTATCAGAATAATAAAATAATCTTGGCTGGCTAGGTAGGATGTTCAAAGTTTTGCTTGGATGATCACCTTTAATCCGCTCAGTGATTTTTTAAAAAGGTGGATTCTATTGTTATTCCAGTTTTACAGATAAGAAAACAGATTTAGAAAAGTTAAGTCACTTACCCATGTTCACACAGCATGGATTAGAGCCAAGATTCAAATTTAGGCAGTCTCTTTGGAGGGTTTGACTCTCGCTGAAAACAAAATATAAAAAAGAACTGCTGAGAGAAAGAAAAAAAGAATGTTCTCATCACCAACTATGGTTGATTTATGTTCATCCTTTCTTTCCAGTATTCTTTTCAACTTCTTCCATCAATCATCTCTTAATTGTTGTGTATTTGAGTATTAGTTGTCAAGAACCAACTATAGTTTAAGCACCTTGCTGGGTACTCTGAGTAGAAAAAAAATTAAGACTTGGCTCCTGCCTTTGGGCAGGGTATAATCTATTTGGACAGTCATGTAAACCAAAAATCATGGTGTGATGATTGCTACCTAGTGGTCTGCAGAGGACTCTCAGAGAACACATAAGGAAGAGGGATCTAATCTGGAGCAGGGCTGATGGCCATGGTCCCCTTTAGAGGTGCCTCCCCAATGTCTGCTCTCTGTACAGTTTCACATGCTGCATCTTTTAAACGTGTCTTTGCTGTTTTCTGATCCACACTTTTGTTAGATTGCTGACCCTAATAGATACAATTATAAAGAAGTTATAAACTGGAGGATAAATTTGTTATAAACAAATAACAGTATAAGCTAATCATTAAGAGCTTTGGGCTCAAATCCAGTTACTTGGCTAGTAGCTGAGTTTAGTCTTGTTATTGAACCTCTGAACCTCAGTTTCTTCATATCTAAAATGGGAATGAATAATATCTACCTCCTGTTAATGTTGGATGTACTAAATAAGCCAAGGCACTCAAACAATCCAGGGTCTGACATTGATGGCTATTATTGCTTATATTATTATTCAACATAGATTTGCATGGGAAAGGAATGCTAGGTCAGCCCTAAGTCAAAGTGGCTGAAATTTGTCTTGAATGCCCATAGGCATGCTTTTTTCTTCTCTCTCAATTATTTGATAACTGATACTGAGCCAGGAGACAATAAAGTATCTTTTTCAGCGATGCTTTATAAACTAACAAGAGATTCTTTTTTTTTTTTTGGAGACGGAGTCTCACTCTTGTTGCCCAGCTGGGAGAGGCTGGAACGCAATGGTGCAATCTCAGCTCACTGTGACCTCTGCCTCCTGGGTTCAAGAGATTCTCCTACGTTAGCCTTCCAAGTAGTTGGTATTATAGGCACCCACAATCACACCCAGCTAATTTTTGTATTTTTAGTAGAAATGGGGTTTCACCATGTAGCCCAGGCTGGTCTTGAACTCCTGGCCCCAAGTAATCCACCCACCTCAGCCTCCCAAAGTGCTAGAATTACAGACATGAACCACTGCGCCCAGCCAAGAAGAGATTCTTAATGATTAAACCCCAACAAATGATCCTCTAATTAAAGGGTTTTGTTTCATAAATTGTGACAAGCTGTGTTATATCTTTGGAAAATACAGATTCATATCAGTTATATTTTTGGGGTATAGATTCATATTAATTTTTTCCCTAGGTTGGGTAACATTGTAGAGAACTCATACAATTCTAACACAAAGCAGGTACCAAGGACTGGTCTTTAAGGCTTTTGGCAAAACAAAAACAAAACATAAAACAGGGAAATTGTTCTAGCTAAAATTTTTCTCTTGATTTGTTTTGTTTGTTAATATGCTGAGTTCTGTAAATTTATAATATTTACCTGTCAGTATCTACCTGCGCAACAGAGGATCTGAGGATATTCTGTTCTGTCATGTATTTCTTACTGCCTTGAGATATTTTCCAAAGAAGATTATTGTTACTTCCATTGGACCTTAGACACTCCCTCTTAAGCCAGGCGTGGCAGCTCATGTCTGTAATCCCAGCAGTTTAAGAGGCCAAGGCAGGTGGTTCAAGAGATCAGGAGTTCGCGACCAGCCTAGCAAACATGGCGAAACCTCATCTCTACTAAAAATACAAACATTAGCTGGGCATGGTGGCAGGTGCCTGTAATTTCAGCAACTTGGAGGCTGAGGCAGGAGAATTGCTTGAACCTGGGAGGTGGAGGTTGCAGCAAGCCAAGATTTTGCCATTGCATTTCAGCCTGGGCAGCAAGAGCAAAACTCTGTCTCAAAAAAAATAAATAAATAAAATAAAACAAAAGAAATGAACTCTTAACAAATTCATGCTACCCAGATCAGCAAATAATGATCTTATCAGCAAATGTTTCTAGTTATTTCCATTCATGAACAGTGAAATTCTAGATGCCCATTCCCTCCAACCTGACAATGAGAGTCTTCAACATCTCCCTTCACTCAGGCATTTACCCCAGTTTTAAGCCAGGTTTACTCAACTTTACAGCTAATGTAGCCTGTTTTCTTTCATTAGCTTGTATTTTTGCATTTTTATTTATGTAAATATGCAGGTATCATTCATAGACTTTTATATCTAATTTTTTAAAAACTTTTCTCTTTTCAGGTATTTTTGCCATTTCCATCGGTAGCAATAGTCATCGACATGGGTCTGGTTGTGATACCGTTGGTAAAGTCTCCAAATGTGTATTATGTCTATGTGCTTCTGTTAATTCTCAGCGGATTACTCTTTTACATACATTTAATACATTTTAAAATAAGGTTGGTTTGGTTTGAGAAGATGACTTGCTATTTATAATTACTATTTAATATTTGCCTGCCTGATGTATCTGAGGAACAGATGTCCGAAGTGCAAACTGTTAAAAAAAATAGCCTTCTAAAATACATATATCAGATTCCAAATCAAGGTTAAACATAGGATAGAACATATGAAATTCCTATGGTAATTACTTTTTTCTCAAATGAAATAAATAATGTATATAAAAGTGCCTAAGAAAGTATCTGGCTTCAAAGTCACTAGGAAATTATTATGCATAATTAAAGCTCTGCTTTGTGTGGCAAAAAACCTAAGTCCTGTTTTGGATAGCTTGATCGAGGGATTATATATCTCCCATTCTCTCATTTTTTTTTTTTTTCTGTATCCCATCCCTTTTCTACTGAATTTGTGAGGATCCTATAACAAAAGTGGATGATGAAAAATTTTAAAAGCATTCCTTCTCTTCATCTTTCCTGCACCCATTTTTTTTCTTTGCGGTGGGTGGGGGTCAGGGAAGATGCTGATTTGAAGATGAACAGAAAAATTCAATTTTTTCCAGTTGGCTTTTCCCTTCTAGAATGTAGCACTTTCTTTCTTTCTTTCTTTTTTGAGATGGAGTCTCACTCTGTTGCCCGAGATCAGTGTCGTGATCTCGGCTCACGACAACCTCCACCTCCAGGGTTCAAGCGATTCTCCTGCCTCAGCCTCCCCAATAGCTGGGATTACAGGTACTCACCACTCTACTCAGCTAATTTTTTGTGTTTTTAGTAGAGACTAGGTTTCACCATGTTGGCCAGGCTGGTCTTGAACTTACGACCTCGTTATTTGCCTGCCTCAGCCTTCCAAAGTGTTGGGATTACAGGAATGAGTCACGCGCCTGGCTGCATTTTTTTTTTTTTCAAGCTAATAACTATTTTAGAAGCATGGGGCTGGGCATGGTGGCTCACGCCTGTAATCCCAGCACTTTAGGAGGCTGAGGCAGGTGGATTACTCAAGGATAGAAGTTCGAGGCCAGCCTGGCCACATGGTGAAAACATGTCTCTACCAAAAATACAAAATTAGCTTTGTTGGTGGCAGGCACCTGTAATCCCAGCTACTTAGGATGCTGAGGCAGGAGAATCACTTGGAACTCAGAAGAGAGAGTTTGCAGTAAGCCAAGATTGTGCCACCGCACTTCAGTCTGGGCAACAGTGTGAGACTCTGTCTCAAAAAAAAAAAAAAAAAAAAAAAAAAAAAGTATGAGTCTTAGGTTAATTTTCTTTGAGCGCCTTTTAAAAAATGTTGATATGTCTTAGAAGAACAGCATTACTGTGCCTTAATTTGGTTTATTAACAAGTGTGACCTACTGGGAATGATGTGGTTGTATATAGTGTGTGTAATAGATGGCTGAGTGGATAGCACCCCAGGAGTAACACTCAGCCAGTGTCATTTGATTTAAGGAATTCATCTGCGGAGCTTAGAGTTGTAAAAGATCTGGTTTAGAGATGTCTTCAGAAAGTGGGAATGTGGGAAGATGTGGGAAGATGTCCAGCGACCTTCATTATCCAGCTCTGTTCCCTGTCTCCCTTTATCCTTCAGAGGTTGCATCAACAGATGTCAAAGAACTTGTCAAGTTTGAGGAACTATCCCCTGGTGTGATGGTTAGTTTTATGTGTCAACTTGGCTGGGTCATGGGGCCCAGACATTTGGTCACACATTCTTTTGGATGTTTCTGCAAGGGTTGTCTTTGGATGAAATTAACATTTAAATAGCTGGATTTTGAGTAAAGCGCATTGTCTTTCCTATCATGGGTGGGCCTCATCCAATCAGTTGAAGTCCTTGCTAGAACAAAGACTGACTTCCCTAAGAGGGAATTCTGCCAGCAGATGGCCTTCAGACTTGAATTGCAACATCAGATCTTCCATGGGTCTCTAGCCTGTCAGGGCACACTACAGATTTTGGACTTGCCAGTCTCCATAATTCTGTGAGCCAATTCCTTAAAATACTCTCCCTCCCTCTCTCTCTCTTCCTCTCTCTCTGTGTATGTCTCTCTGTCTCTCTCTCTATCCATATATACTTCCATTGGTCTGTTTCTTTGGAGAAGCCAATAACATATCCAAGTTAGCAGGGTAGATAAGTAGATAGCATACTACTTATTTATTCCTAAGACAGTTGCCTTATGTGGGCCTCACGGTTCAACATTCCCTTCACCTAAACCTCCACTACATTTAGACAGCTGCCCAAATTCCCTCTTCCTATGAGCTTTCAACACACTGTGGCAAAATAGTTCCTGAGCTAATTTCATAGAACCCATCCACATTTTATAAATTCAGGATCAGAGCTTCAGATTCTGGAGACCTGGAAGATATTTAAATTACAAGTGAGAAGAACCAGAGATCTGATTGACATTAGATTTAGGAGAAATCTTAAATGTTTACAGTAGCCCCACAAAGTAACTTGCTCATCTGTTTGTATACTCCCAGGGATGGGGGAATTACCACTTGCTAAAGATGCTGGTCTTATCTTTGGACAGCTTTGCTTTCTGAAAGCTTTTTCTAATAATATGAAGCTGCAATGCAATTTCTATCTATTGGGTAAGTCTAATCTTCTTTCACATGACATCCTTTTAGATATTTGATGATAGCCATTCTGTGGCTCTGTGTCTTCTCCAGATTAAAATCCCCGAGTAGTCCAAAGTTGCTGCTTTTGAAAATGTTGACGCCTCCACACCTTGCCGGGTCCTTTTTAATGTAAAATGTCTTAAATTTTTATGCCATAAACAATGCAGTTTTTCCGGACATGGTCTGACTATGGCAGAGCAGAGTGGAGTTATCATTTCCTTTGTTTTAAATATTCCAGTTTTGTTCACTGTTTTGGCACCACTATACACTTAAACCTTCTAAATCTTTCATATAAGTCATGGCTGAGACATACCTATTCTAAGACTGTGTGGGACATTATGTTGGCAAGTGTAATAGATCAATACAATTTCTCAGGGAAACTTTTGTACCACAGCAAGGTAACAAGAAATTGACTGATGGTAGCAAGAGAGGGGTTATAAAATTTCAACACTTCAAGGAAAGTCGCAACATGACTTTCATTATATTTTTTTATATTTTATATTATTTTTGGAAATAAGGCCTTATAAAATATTTGTGATAAATTTTCTGCTTTGCAATTGTTTTGTTCTACTCCCGAACACCAGTAATTCACCTTCCTGCTATATTTCCTTTAAGAGGAGTCTATTGGGAAGCCATCCATCAACAATTTCTTTGATGACATCAGGCAAGGACTTATTTACTACACTCTCTGAACTGAGGCTAATGGTACTTATCTATTTGACACCAGGTGTGCTGTGAAGATTAATGACTTGTGTGTGACATACTTTGAAGTTGAAAGTAATCACTTTCTTATTGTATAGATAGGGCCTCCAAGGTGTTATCTCTTGCTTGTATCATGAAATTTGCAAAGTAGACACTACCTGAAAAGCTTCTACCTCCTCTCTATTCAGAGCAGGTTTATTTTTATTATTCTATTTATTTATTTTTTTTAATTGAGACAGAACCTCACTCTGTCATCCAGGCTGGAGTCCATTGGCACAATTTTTGCTTGCTGCAACCTCTGCCTCCCAGGCTCAAGTGATCCTCTGACTTCAGCCTCCCAAGTAGCTGGGACTACAGATGCATGCCACTAAACCTGGCTAATTTTTTTGTATTTTTGGTAGAGACTGGGCTTTGCCATGTTGCCCAGGCTGATCTTGAGTTCCTGAGCTCAAGCCATCAGCCTGCCTTCATCTCCCAAAGTGCTAGGATTACAGGCATGAGCCGTTGAGCTCAGCCTGGAACAGGTTTAAATAGCTTCGTGAGGTTGTATTAATTTCCTGGAGCTGCCATAAGAAATTATCACAAGTTCAATTGGCTTAAAATAGCAGAAATCTGTTCTTTTGCAGGAGGTCAGAAGTCCAAAATCATCCTAAGCAAATTAATGCAAGAACAGAAAACCAAATACCATATGTTCCCACTTATAAATGGGAGCTAAACATTGGGTACTTGTGGACAGAAAGATGGCAAGAATTGACACTGGGGACTATTAGAAGGGGGAGCAGGGAGAAGGGCAAGAGTTGAAAGACTAACTACTGGGTACTATGCTCAGTACCTGGGTGATGGGATCATTTATACCCTAAACCTCAGCACCATGTAATGTACCCAGGCAACCAATCTGCCCATGTACCCCTAAATCTAAAATAAAAGTTGCAAAAGAAACAGAAAAAATTAAAATTAAAAAAAAATCTCCTTCTCCTTTCTCTCATAAGGATACCAATCATAGGATTTAGGGTCCACTCCAAATCTAGAATGTTCCTGTCTCAAGGTCTTGAACTTACATCTGCAAGGATCCTTATTCCAAGTAAAGTCATATTCTGATATTCCCTGTAGATGTGTTTTTAAGAAGGCCATTATTCAACCCACAAAACTAGGTCCTCCTAGTTATCCAGTTCCATTCCCAGATCATGTGGTGGCCTTATTCAGCCATAGAGGATGGTTCAAGAAGGCCACCCTGATTTTGCTTCCCTCTGGAGGTTGTAACTCATCTGTATGTTGGAGTTGGAACTAAAATATGAAATCTGGAAAACCTCAAACTTATCCCAAGTAGTACTGTGATCTTCCATATTAACAATGTCTCAACGTCTCCTAAAACGGCAGGATCAGTATTTGAAAAGAAACTTTAAACTAGACTTGAGAAATAGCCAGGTAATCTCAAGAGCTGGATTATTCTGATCTTGATGCCAGGACGTCCCAGCAGACAAAGATTATTAGGAATTCTTGACAATCAGGAACCTGGATGTTGTTATTGACATCATGTTATATTGACTAATGATGTAATTGAGAAGGAAATAACTGTGCTTCAATGAATCTGCTCACATCTTTCCATTAGGCCTAGGCCTCTCTGAGATGACTTCTCTCTGAGTTGCTGCTTGTTCAGTACCTTGTATATGAAGCCGGTAGGAAGAAAAACAGTCACTTTTCTTAAGTGTCAGCTCTGTGCCAGACGGTTGGGAATGCTGGAGGATTTCCCAGAATACAGCATATGTGTTTATTTTCAAGCATGAGAAACAAACTACCTGAATGTACAGAAGTCACAGTAACTTTATAGAAAATAGAGTTTCCCAATTGTAATTCTAAGTAATGGACTTCGGTTACTTTAAGGTGAAGGAAAAAATAAGCATCCCTTTATTTAGCTGTAAAGTGAAAGTGGGTTATTTCTCAGATCTTTTCCGGGTGTAACAAATGACAAACATTCTTCTTCTTCTTTTTTTTTTTTTTAAATTTCAAATTGTATTTTAGATTAAGAGGTACATGTGTAGGTTTTTTACATGGGTATACGGCATAATGCTGGGGTTTAGGATGCAAATGATCCTATCATGCTGGTAGTGAGTGTAGCATTCAATAGGTGGGTTTTCAGTCCACGATCCCCTCTCTCCCTCTCACCTAGCAGTTCTCATTGTCTCTTGTTCCTCTCTTTATGTCTATGTGTACTAGTTGTTTAGCTCCCACTTATAAGTGAGAACATACAGCATTTGGTTTTGCCTTCCTGCATAAATTTGCTTAGGATAATGGCTTCTAGCTTCATCCATGTTGCTGCAAAGAATGTAATTTTGTTCTTTTTTAGGACTGCATAGTATTCTATGATGTATATGTACCACATTTTCTTTATCCAGTCCACCATGGATGGGCATTTAGGTTGATTCTATGTCTTTGCTATTGTGAATGGTGCTGTGAGGAACATACAAATGCATGTGTCTTTTGGAGAGAATGAATTATTTTACTTTGGGTATATACCAAGTAGTGAAATTGCTGAGTTGAATAGTAGTTCTCTTTTAAGTTCTTTGAGAAAGCTCCAAACTGTTTTCCCCCCGGCTTAACTAGTTTGCCTTTCCACCAACAGTGTATAAGGGTTCCCCTTTCTCCACAGCCCTGCCAGCACCCGTTAATAACCACCATTCTGATTGGGGTGAGATGGTATCTCATTGTGGTTTTGATTTGCATTTTTCTAATGATCAGTGTTGTTGAGCATTTTTTCACATTCTTTGGCTGCTTGTACATCTTCTTTTTCTTTCTTTTTTTTTTTTTTTTGAGATGAAGTTTCACCCTTGTTGCCCAGGCTGGAGTACAATGGCAGATTTCAGCTCACTGCAACCTCCACCTGCTGGATTCAAGCAATTCTCCTGCATCAGCCTCCCAAGTAGCTGGGATTATAGGCATGCACCACGACACCTGGCTAATTTTTGTATTTTTAGTAGAGACAGTGTTTCACTATGTTGGTCAGCCTGGTCTCAAACTCCCAGCCTCGGGTAATCCACCCACCTCAGCCTCTCAAGGTGCTGGGATTTTACAGGCATGAGCCACTTCGACCTCTTCTTTTGAGAGGTGTCTGTTCATGTCCTTTGCCTCATTTTTAATTGGATTTTTGTTTCTGGTTCATTTGTTTATTTGTGGATTCTGGATATTAGACATTTGTCAGATGCATAGTTTGTCAATATTTTCTCCCATTCTGTAGATTGTCTGTTTACTATATTGATAGTTTCTTTTGCTGTGCAGAAGCTCTTTAGTGTAATTAGGTCCCACCTGTCATTTTTGCTGTTTTGTTTTGTTTTTGTTGCAGT